ACACACACACACACACACACACACACACACACACACACACACACACAAATATGCAGGAAGGTTGAGTCTGCTGATGGGGGAGGATGAGGCTGCCCGGAAGGAAGCCTGTGGAGTTTGGCCTATCACCTCAGTAGAGTTGCCCTGAAGTTCTGAGGTTGGAGGATGGCTGCTGGCAAATACCCAAGCCCGTTTCTATTCCCACCGCTGCATTAGCATTCAAGGAGCACAAGTTGCTGTATTTGCCTAGGAAAAATGTTCCAGGTTCTGCCTTGGCAGAGACAGGATTCCTCCCAAACCCTGGTTGCCATGCTCTGCTTTGCACAGCTGTTGGGGGCTGAGTCATCAGCTCAGCCTGTTCTGTTCCCTGGGGTTTCAGGGTTGCTTTCTTCTTTCGTTAATGGCTGATGCTTTGAAAATAAGACCTTCGATGGTGTATTCTGGGACTATCTATCACTTAGAACACCTGGCTGGCCTGAGCACCTGGCTGCTGCCCTACTGAGTAAGCTGCCAGCATCTTCCAAAAGGTGCAGCTTCCTAATCCTACAGCTGGGAAAACTGCGACTCGGGAGTCTCTAGTCATTGAAGAAGAAAGCATCATTTGCAAGTCCCTTGTTTCCTAAACAGCCCTAAAATCAGAATGTGGGACCCAATACCCTAGAGATCATGTGGTCTAGCTCCATAATCTAACACAGGTCTTTAAACTATGGTATTATGAGAAGTTGTGTTTGTTCCTATGAAATATGCCAGGGAGCTTCAACTAAGGGATTAAGGTCTTCCATAAATGGAAAAGGAAGCCTGTAGGAAGGCTGCAGGGCATAGGCTGACTACACAGACCTGGGGGAGGATGTGGTAGGCCGGCAAACAGCTCAAGCAGAGATGTGGTGGTGGTTTGCCAAGCAGAGCTCTCGTTGTGCACACACACATACACACATGTACACACTCAGAGAGGGGAGGGAAAAGAAAAAGAGGAGACTGCTGTAAATGGAAAGAACTTATCATCAGGTATTTATCTCCCCCTTTATCCTCACAGCTTCTGATGGATTTCAAACATGGTCCAGCTCCTTTCTCTGTTACTGCCGATGCTGCCCAGACCTGTGCCCTCCTCTCTTCACCCCTGGAAGGCTTTAGCCGCCTTCTACCTTGTCTCCTTTCTGCCAGTCCTGTCCTTCCCCAACAAACTGTACCCAGGGCTGCCTCCCATGCACACCTGATATGGCCTCTCTTCTTTGTGGAACAGTTCCATGCTCCCTGAGGTCCACTGAACAGGACCCTGGCTTACCAGGCTGTGGCCTGGCCTCACCTCCTCCTGCAGCCTCACTCCTTCAGCAGGCACCCCAGCCTCCAAGCTGCTCTGTTGTTGATTTACTTACTGCCTTTGGCCATGCTGCCCCCTGTCTTCCCCCTAGTGGACTCCTATTCATCCTTCCAAGCCCAACACAAGCTTCTGGTTGGAAGAAGCTTTTCTTGACTTTCCTGGGACCTCCAAAATATCTTGAATGTGTTTATTTTTTTTGAAGGTCGTATCATGCTTCTATTACCTACTTCCAGAATACTGTCTGCCCCTGTTTGTTTGGTATCTCCTGTGTGACAGAACACCTGTCCATGCTATATGTATGCTCTGTTGCATGTTACTTTCATGGTGCACAGAGAGGAGGGGCAGCTCACGGTGGACGAGAAGCTGAAGCTCAACAGTGGCCAGATTTGCTGAGGCTTGCAGTCAGAAAGTGCAAGAGCCAGAATTCCACCCCAGATCCATTCAACCCTGTTTCTGTGTCCTTTCAGCCCCTGCTCCTCATTATAGGCCCTTAGGCTGCACTGGGCATGGGGAGGACCAATCAAAGTGGCCGTTGTTTGTGTGGTTGCTATGGAGTGTGTACAATGGGGAGACGGGGACACTGGTGTGAAGAGGGGCGGGTGGCCTTGGGGTTGAAGGGATGAGAGATTGTTGGCCTTGCTCCCATAGCTTAGGGTTTCTTTCACCTTCCATTCCAAGTAGCTGCCTCCAGCTGCCTAGGGACAGGCCTGTGGGACTCCAGGCTGAAGAGGCAGCCTGGCAATAAATGCCATGGCAACATGCCTCCTCTCCCAGGCTATGATGAGAGGGAGGAGCTGAGAAGACACAGGACACACACTGGGGCCTCTGAGCGGGATCCTGAAGCAGAGGTGCCCTATGGGCCTGGGTGGCTTCTGCTTTCCCAAGAGGGACCCTCCCTGTGAGGTCCCATCCCCCCAGCAGGGGAAATGCCACTTCCATTCTGCCCTGAATTAATGACTGGTTCTAGTCTCCCAGGAGACTGTTCACTATGTCCAGGTACAAATACCACCCCATTCCCATCTGCAGCCAGGAAGGAAGGAAAACAGAACTCAAGAGAAGGGAGAAGCAGGTTGCCAGACAAGGCAGTAGCAGAGACAGCTGGGACAAAGCTTGCATTGTACCAAGGCCACAGGCAGTTCCCATGTAGCCACTCTTACCTGCCTCACAAGACCTGGGCCTTGAGCTCCACCTGGACTCTGCTAACAGTTCAGCCACAGTCACCCAAGCTGGCATGGCAGAGAAGCTGTCCTGGGAGGCGAAGCCTGCTAAAGGGGCTCCCACCTCCCTGCAGCCAGCCTAAAGCCAAGAGAAAAGCAATGACTGGGCACATAACCAGCGAAGACATGGACTAGCAGGGACCTAATTGAAAGAAAGCTGCTAGTAGGTCACTTGACCACAGATGAATTCACTCTGTGGCAGGTAGTCCTCCAAGCTTTGTCCGCTCATGAGCAAATACCATCCCCCACCCCATCCTACTCCAGCTGCTCCCACCAGGAAGTGGTCCCAAAAGGCAGGCACCCTGTGTGCTTCTCCAGACAGGTATACAGCCCACTGATTCCCCACCCAGCAGGGTCTGGCCCTCCTGCTGTTCGCAGAGGCTCCGCTTGGGTGACTGAGACTGGTGAATGGAGAAGTGATGCCAAGTTAGGTAGGCAGCTCAGGTGACGGGCATGGTGTCAGCAGCTCCTGCTGCCCAGCACCTGACACCTCTTGGGCAGACAATACTGGCTGTGTCCAAGCCCTCTAGGGGAACAGGCCGTGTTCTGTATCACAGCCAGGAAACTGGCCATCTGAGTAGTGCCTTTGTCCACTCAGGAGATGGTTCCACTACTAGCCAGGAGAATGGGGCTCCTGGGGGCCCTGACGTGGGAAGGAGGTAGTCCCTGGGTCAGGAACTGTGGGGTTTGAGATCTCAGTATCTGATGCTGGTCTGGTTCAAATACTGGTCCTGCCACACAACGGGGATGTGACTTGGGCAAGTCCTTTTGCTCATAGTGGCCCTGATTCCTTATCTCTAAAAGGGGACTAATCTTAGCACTTCCTCATAGGGTTGTTGGGAGAAGTCAATGGCGTAATGTACGTAACACATGTAGCACGGGCTGGCGTGCCACTGTGGGGCTTGGCTTGGCAGCTGCTTCTCCTCCTGCATGGGCAGAGATCCAGGGCATGACATTCTCAGCTAAGCTTTCCCAGGCTGTTGGCTACAGTCCCTTTTCTGAATGTGGAATCAGGGGCTGTGACCTCTGGGGCTGGCTCAAAACTAGCCACTGGCTGCAGAAAGCCTAGGTTTCTCTCCCTTGACCCAAAAGAGTTCTAGGCTGATGCTAATGTAGTCCCCATCTGAGATAGCTCCAGCGTCCGCATGGGGCCTCTCGTTCCCCCACATCCCTGAAGACATGCCTGCAGAGCTTTCCCTGCAGATTTTCCCTGAAAATCCCTGCTCAGGAGAACATCCTAAGGACCCCAGCACCAAGTAGTAGTGCCTGAGTAGGGCCTGATTCTACCCACCCCTTTTTTTCAAATCTCTTGGGCATATGAGTGTACTTGCTAGACTCACTGACCCTGGACCACTCAGCAACTAGGGGGGCTTCTACTCTCTTGACCTTGACCTCCTATCCATCAAGCCTGTGCTCAAGTTCCTGGGATATGCTAAACCAAGCATGCATGTTCATATGACAGAGGCTAGCATGCCTGCATGCAGCATGGGAGTCAGAGGGCCTGGCTGCTTGTCCTGCCTTGTGGGCAGGCACCTGAGCATGTACATGGACCTGTCTGTGACACATCTTGGAATGATCTATTTTGTCTGTATCCATTTATCTTTCTACATGTCTGCTGGTATGTCCGTCTGTCTTGTCTCCTTTGTAGCCAGGAAGCCCCGAACCACGTGCCAACTGGGAAGGTGATGGTCAGCGAGGCCAGCCCAGCCTAATCTGGGGCTCCAACTCCTGCAGTCCTCCGACCTGCAGACCCTGCCAAGGAGGGGGGACTGGATGTGGGAGGCAGGATCTGAGGGACCTGGGGAGAAGCAGGCTTTGCTGGTAGAGTAGAAGATCCTTTTGCTGCAGTGGTGGACAGGGGGTCCTTGTCTGACTGTGGCAGGGTCTTCACCCCTCTAGGCATCTTCACTGACCTGGAAGATCTGGGGTTGGACTGATGACTTGTGGCCGCCCCTGAGGCTCTGAGGACTGGGACTTTAAACTGGGGTTAGCGGCCTGTGCCAAGCCCACTGAATTCACTGGTGGAGCCGGCCATCTGCAGCCTCGCCTTTAGGTCCTCGCTTGATTCTGGGGTGTTACACCGAAGGGCAAGAGGAGAAGCCATGCCAGGCAGTGGCCCCAGTGAGAGGATGACGTGGCCCGGCCCGGCCCTCCCTACGCCCCCCACAACCCGCCCTCTTTCCTCAGCCCCGGGAACACCGTCCATCCCGCCGCTAACCAGGACCCGCAGCCTCATGGCCATGTCCCTGCAGGGAAGTAGAAGGGCCTCTGCCGGATCTCGCAGGTGAGTCTCCCTCTTGCCTACAGCCTGGGCCTCAGAGGCAGGAGGGCTTGTGCTCTGTCTTGCAGTGTCTGCAGCAGACTTGCAGCGTGCCTTTACACAAATTGTGCCCTCGGTTTGCCCGTCCTTAAAATAGGCTGCCTGATCCATGCCACCTCCAGGAACTATTTAAGGACCCAATGACACGGTGGATGTAACAGTTATCTGAAGGCTCCCACCAGCACCGGCCCTGCCATTACTATCCTTGCAGTAGTCCTCCTATGACTGTCACCCTGTGGGCCCCTCCTCCAGTTGCTTCCTGTCTGCCCCATTCTTCTCCCCTCTGTTTCAGTCATGCATGGATATCCTTCCCTGGGCTGAGAGACCCTGGGGCCTGCCATTTGTCCACAGCCCTGTCTAGCCTCTGTTCTTGACCCCGGGGAGCTAGGAGGGTCAGCCGCCTTCCAGTTTCCATCTTGATTTCCACTGTCTGTTCTGTCACCCTTGTCTGTGTGTGTGTGTGTTCCCCTCTCCCCACTGCCTTTCTTTCCTGGGATGAACCCGAAGCGGGGGCACTTTAGGCCGCAGCGGCCTGGCAGTGTTCGCCCAGTGCCCACAGCTGCCTGCCAGCCAGAATGAGCAGCTGCCTCTTCTCCCCGCCTCCAGGCGCACCTCTCCACCTGTGAGTGTGCGGGACGCCTACGGCACTTCTCCCCTCAGCAGCAGCAGCAACTCTGGCTCCTGCAAGGGCAGTGACAGCAGCCCCACACCGAGGTAACCAGCTCCTCCTTGGCTGCCTGGGAACATGGTACCCAGGAGACAGGGGAAACAGCACCATGTTCTGACCATCCCACCACCAGCATTCTTGCTGACTTCGGCCTAGGAAAGCTCACTTCTCCCCTCTGAGTGTTGGTTCCTGTCTGTAAGATGGGCAAGAGCAAATGCAGTGAGAGACAGGGCAGGGAGCCAGAGGCAAGCAACTCCTGAAACATCACAGGTCTTGCCTCCTCCTGCTCCACCATCCATCTTTTATCCTAATTATCCCAAGATGGCTCCTGTACCACCAGCCATCAGGTCAGCAAGGAAAAAGATGATTCCTCTTATGTTCATTGCTCAGAAAAGGGACACTTGGCCTGTGACATTTTGCCTAGACCTCATTGGTTAGAACTGGGTCATGTGACTTACTGCAACCTATCTAGTTAATTCAGAGAGGATTAGTGTTTTACACACACACACACCCCAATGGTGCCACCCCAAACAAAGAGGAGAAGATGGGGGGGGGTTGTCTCAGACACCACATGCCACTAAGTTGTCCTCTAGGTATAGTAGACAGAGACCTGAAAATACAGAGTCACCTAGAGGGCAGATAAAAAAAGTGTTGTGGGTCCTTGAAGACCAGGATGTTAGAACCAGGGTGCTGATGGAGCACCCTGTTTCCTGGGTACCGGAACAGAAGCTGGCAATGGGAGGTTGTGCGGAGCTACAGGCTTTGGATTTGGCTTTCTGTCTCAGGCTCAAACTTTTCTTTGCCATAAAATGGGGCTAATAACCCAGAGATGTCAGTGAGTAGATCTTCACTACATCCTGGACCACAGTGAGGCTGGAGAGTTAGGAACATAAGAGGACAGGGTGTGTCCTGACTGCAGTTCCACAGTCAAGCTCCTCCCTCTCAGTAGAGAAATGTCATGTGTTCAGTGATGTCCAGAGCCACTAAAGCCACAGATTTCAGGTTTTTCCACCAAGGTGCGGATGGTGGGTAGCAGTTGTGTGTGAGACCTATGCCCAGCATCGGGCTTCTGACTGATTTACTTCTTGGAAAGTATGGAATTGGGAGCTCCCAGACTTCTTTTGCTAACAGTTTTATAACACATCTCCCATCTGAAGTCCCTGATACGGTCCCAAACCCCAGGTTGAGCACCTGTGAAAAAATCCTGTTGCCCAAAATGGGGGACTGATACCCCTGGGGAGGACAGGCCACATTACTAAGGACCTCACTGTAGCCAGGCTGTCTCTGCTAAGATGTGTATAATCACATGCTTCTATTTTTTTAATATACACACCAGAGAGACAGACAGACAGGGAGAGAGAACTGTAGAGACTATAAACATGTATTAAATGTTATCTTGGAAAACTGCCCATGAAAGCAAATGAGAACATTCAAAGTTCCCATGTCACTCTAACCCTCATTCTTACTAGTTTAATGTTGGCTTCATCACCCCTTGCCTCATGCCAGGCTGAGGACTGTCTTTATGCATCACAGGTCTGTGTCCACCTGCCAAATCCCTTGCAGGGCAGGCAGACAGTTACAGGTCTACATAGAGGACTCTGCATGCCCTTCCCTTCTGAAGCGATCTTAGACCTGGGTGAGAAAGCCCAGGCACCCACCACGCCACCCCTTGCCCCATGTCAAGTGGAAGAGACGCTATATGACCTGGCTTCCCTTCCTATCTCCACCTTCTAACACTTTCCATACTACATACAGTAAGCACTATACAGCTTGCATGAAACTTTGAACCTGCCTTGAATGTGGCTACTTCCACAGTGGGCCTCCGCAGGGCCTATCTTTTCCGGCCCTTTAAAGTGTCTCTGCTGAGCCTCCGTATTCCCAGCCCCTGGAGCAACAGTGTTATGGCCATAGGCCCTACTCTCCAGTGTGTGGGAACACTCCTGGGATTTGAAACCAAGAACCAAGTAGGGTTGGTTCTTAAGAACAGATCCTGCAGCCAGGAAGCTGTGGGTGGAGCCATCTGGACTATAGTCTGTTGTGGAATCAGGGAGTTCTCCTTCCTAGGAGAGTATTGGCCAGCCCTCCATCCTGGCCCCGGTGGCCCTCTGGGTGGCGGCTCCTCCACATGGTGTCATATCACATAGTGTAGCAGGTGCAGAAGGCATCCAGACAGCTGTCCCCAGGGCACTGCTGCTAATTATCTACATGTGTATTCACACATGCCCCAGATCATAGGTGCATAAACATGGCTAGTGTCCTGGACCAGGAAATTGCCTGGGAAGGCAGCATAAAAATGGTGTATGTCCACACATGGGGCATGCAGGTGCACAATGCCTGAGACACTATGAATTCCCTGAGAGGAAGAGCGGCCCGACCTCCCAGTGTGTATATGTGTTGCAAACCTATATGTTCTTGAAGGTGGGTGCCCGCAGACACAGCATCATGTCACCCCTGCCTGTGACAGTCCTGTCCCCATTCCTGTCCCTGTGCTAGCCAGGCTTTCAGCAGCAGGGAAGAGAGTCTCCCTTTCAGGAAGACACTATCTCCTCTGCAGGTGAGCTTTCACCCTCCAGGCCCACTCACAACCTGCCCTTGTCCCCAATCTCTTATCCTCTGTTGAGAAGCTTGAGCCAGGCTCTCTGAAGTGAGTGTGTTTATAGGAGGAACACTTCCCAGCACGCACTGCTGCAGCCAGGGTCCATACAGGGTGACATAGGATGCTTAACACACACGATCTCCACGGGAGAGCCCCTCTTCCCTAAGCAAAGGAGCCTTGAGTCCCCGTCCTACTCCTCACTCAGAAGAGCTTCATTAAAGCTCACCTCGCAGAAGGCTGGCTATCTTCGCGCCTTGCCTACGTGGCCTGCACAGAAGGGCTGGTGGCACAGGCAGACTGAAGATAGGCTGGAGGCCCCTGCTCTGCGGCCCAGCCCTGTGCAGGGCCTGTCCTCATCATCTGCTACCTCTGATGGACATCCCCTTGCAGGCGCTCCATGAAGTACACACTATGCAGCGACAACCATGGCATCAAGCCTCCCACCCCAGAGCAGTATCTGACTCCACTGCAGCAAAAGGAAGTTTGCATCCGGCACCTGAAGGCCCGGCTCAAGGACACACAAGACCGGCTCCAGGACCGGTGAGTGATAGCCAAGGGAAGCCCTGGGGACATCTACCAGCCCCAGTCTCAGCAGAGCCAGAGCCCTGGGGTAACCCCTGGGAAGAAGACCGAAGGGGCCTTGCTGCTCTCTGTTTGACCTCTTCTCTCAGCAAAGCCTCCTTTGGGCCCATTTGTAGATGTTCCAGCCCCTGAGACCCCCTGCCTACTTCAGGCAGGTGCTTGGGATCAGTGGGCAGAGTGGTCAGGCACTCTCCTGCTTGAGCCCCCTCCTGACCACAGCCCTGCAGCTTCTTTTGGTGGCGGCTTCTCCCATGGTTCCTGTCTTCCCAGCGAGCTAAACAAGCTGAACGACAGAGTCTCTCCCCAGCTTCCTTTTCCCTGAGAATGAGAAACAGCTCTGTAGCCCTCCCTTGCCTGTACACAATGAGACACAGGGGTTTCCACCAATCAGACCAGGCCCAGAAGCCTTCCTCTGTATCTGCTTCCTTCCTGTAGATGATATAAGAGCAGCAAATGCTTTGGGTTAGGTCCTGCTCAGCCTAAGGGTCTCCCAGGAGCTCGGATCCTGTTGGACAATGGTGCTGCCCCTCCTGGTAGTTTCATCTTTTCGAGCCACACTTCACCGTTGAGCACCATGGCACACACATGGCACCCCAGCACTCAGTAGTCTGAGGAAGGAGTGTAAGTTTGAGGACAGCCTGAAATGTAAAGTGAGGCCCTGTAGCAACAGAAACCAAAAGTCCTACGTTAGAGCGGGCTCTTCCAGCTCTCATCACCTTTGCCAGCCTCCTCTGAACCGTGTCTGTTCTGTGCGGGGCACTAGAGCTCAGGGCAGGCAGCCCCACTGTGTTGTTTTTTTTTTTTCTTTGCTTCTGCTGCGGCTTTATACTATACCCTACCTCAAGTACTCTACATACCACAGAACTGGCCCTTCTAAAGTAACCACTGGATGGGGTATAGCATCTTCAGAGTTGTCACAATTGCCACAATGAGATACCTCTTTTTATCACCCTGTTCCCATTAGCATTCATTCCCCATCCTCTCCAATCCATTGGTCTTCCTGTCTTTATTGATCTCTGGACATGTTACATAGTATACCTCTGGCAACATCCAGTCCAGTCTGGGTTTGTTGTGGTTTCAGAGTTCAGGGGGTTTAAAATACTGGTCTATGGGCTCCACCACCTTTGAACTGAGGAAGAGGCAGGAGGCCAAGGACTCCATGCCTGGTGATCTGCCTGCTATTGCCACTCAGATAGCTCCAGTTCACCACCCTCCTCTAGCACTCTGCTGAGTTGAACCCCGCTGGGTGGCCAGCCCCTCCTGAGGATAATGCTTGACTTCTGGAGTCTTTTTGCATAGTGGGATTTCTAATCTAGCTTTGGGTAATCTGCAGTGCCTTATGTGGTACAGTCACATAAGTGACAGCCATGCCATTGGCAGTTTCTTCATGTAAGCCAGGCTTGCAGCTGACAGGTTTTATTGGATCTCATCGCTAAGAAGGTCCTGGAAGAAGAATGCCTGGACAGGCTAGTAAGCCTGTGTGAGCACCTTCCTTTCCCACTGCTTGCAGTCAGTGGCCACTGAGTCTCGCCCTGATTTTCCCTCTAGTCACTGTGGCATGGTTCACTAACCACTTCCCTCTGTAGCACCCCTGAGTCCATCTGTAATTAGGGGATGTGAAGAGCCTTAGCATTTCTGGGTGGAAGTGTTGCTGTAGATCTGCTTGCTGGTACAGCCTTCTCTTGGTAACTGCATTTCCTGTCCATCTCTTCAGCCTCTCCTCTTGACAGAAAATACAAAGGACCTTCTAACATGCATACAAGAGAGCCACCCAGTCCTCCTCACCCTCCTCTGACTCATTTATCACTTCTGGTCTTTCTCCAAGAGGTACACTGTAAGATTGTCAGCTCCCCACCATCAGCAAAGGCTGTCATTTCTCTTGTGCTACCATCCCATTGCTAGAGTCTGGCGACAAATGTCTCTCCAGTTAGAACATTCACAAGCTGCTTCAGTAGGGAGTCATATCCCTCTCTCTAGTGTCCACTGTTTTGCATTAAGAGCTCATTACATTTTTATAGCAGCTGGCTCATCAATTAAGGATCTGTGTAGTCTCCTCTGGAGGTGTGATGTGAAAGGGCTTGGCTTAGTGGGTGAAATTGGGAATGTGACTCCTACTGCTGTGTCTTCTCCTTCTCAAGGGAACCTCCTCTCCTGTCTTGGTCCCTGGCTCCATCCACCCTTACTTCAACCTGTGGGATGAAAGAGGCATCAAATCCTACTTTTGTCTCTAGCTTTGAGCTACCCCATTCTGGGACTATCTTGGTGGAGCTTGGTGACAGCTCCTTGCTTCTCCACAGTAGCAGTGACAGGTCAGGAGGACAGGCTATGAGCAAGTGTTGTTTTCTTTGCTTACAGGGACACAGAGATCGATGACCTGAAGACGCAGCTGTCCCGCATGCAGGAGGACTGGATTGAGGAGGAGTGCCACCGTGTGGAAGCCCAGCTGGCTCTGAAAGAGGCTCGCAAGGAGATCAGGCAGCTCAAGCAGGTCATCGACACTGTCAAGAACAACCTGATTGACAAGGACAAGGGGCTGCAGAAGTACTTCGTGGACATCAATATCCAGAACAAGAAGCTGGAGACGCTACTGCATAGCATGGAGGTGGCCCAGAATGGAATAGCCAAGGAGGAAGGAACCGGGGAGTCAGCCGGCGGGTCCCCTGCTCGCTCCCTCACCCGCAGCTCCACCTACACCAAGCTGAGTGACCCAGCCGTTTGTGGTGACCGCCAGCCAGGGGATCCCTCCAACACCTCTGCTGAGGATGGAGCTGATAGTGGTTTTGTGGCTGCTGACGACACACTGAGTCGGACGGATGCCCTGGAGGCCAGTAGCCTGCTGTCATCAGGAGTGGACTGTGGCCTTGAGGAAGCTTCTCTGCACAGCTCCTTCAATCTGGGGCCCCGCTTCCCTGCCAGCAACACCTATGAGAAGCTACTGTGTGGTATGGAGGCTGGTGTGCAGGCCAGCTGCATGCAGGAGCGGGCCATCCAGACAGACTTTGTGCAGTACCAGCCTGACCTGAACACCATCCTGGAGAAAGTGGGCCAGGCTCAGGGGTGTGGTTCAGTCCCCAAGGACAGGCACTCAGAGCTGGATCGTCACTCCTCAGAGCCCAGAGACCCCAACTCAGCAGTGGTGGTGACAGTAGGTGACGAGCTTGAGGCCCCAGAGCCCATCACTTGTGGGCCTGCAGCCAACTCTAACCCAGGACTGCCAGTGAGTGTAGTGTGTCCTGTGGAAGAGGAGGAGGAGGCAGCTGCCACCACTGAAAAGGAACCCAAGAGCTACTGGAGCCGCCACTACATCGTGGATCTACTGGCTGTGGTGGTGCCAGCTGTGCCAACGGTGGCCTGGCTCTGCCGTTCCCAGCGGCGCCAGGGCCAGCCCATTTACAACATCAGCTCCCTGCTGCGGGGCTGTTGCACAGTAGCTTTGCACTCCATCCGTAGAATCAGCTGCCGTTCACTGAGCCAGCCAAGCTCCAGCTCAGCGGGCGGCTCCCAGCTCTGAGGAGGCTGGCAGCTCTCCACTCTTGGCAGCCTGACCACTGATTGTAGGATGCCATTTGCTGCCCCTCTCCATCCCCACTGGCATCCTCTTATTTACTTTCAGGTCCGGAATAGCGCCCCCACCCCAGATGTTCACAGTGTCAGGGATTCAGAAAGGCATCCCAAAACTTGGAGAGAAAAGGTAAAAGGTGGCTAATTGAAGAGGGAGAAACTGGTAAGAGCTCCCCTTTGGGCCCTCTTGTCCACCCAGACTTTAGACAAGGCAGGCCCTGCTCAAAACATCCCTGGCTGTCTTGATGTGGGGCTACTCCCCTCCCTTGCACATTCTCTCCATGCCTTCTCACCCAGACCACCCCTTGCCCTCTCCTCAGTCTCCTGGACCAGTATTACTTCCTCAAATGGAGGCAGCCAGGACCCAAAGTGCAGAGAGCTACCCCAAGCAGGGTCTGGCTGCCCAGGTCCCATTGAAGCTCCAGCTCTCCTCCCTTGCCCTGGGATGCAAAAGTGTGGTCCAGCTGGAACGATCAGCTTAGGCAAGAGGGGCAGAGGGCAGGGTAGGTTCTGTGTATGTCTGTCTGTTCTCCTTTTGGCTTCTGGGTGTGTTAGGTTTTCGTGAGACGTCCAATGCCCATCGCTACTCCTGACATGCTCAACATGGGATTGGGAGGGAGCCATTACCCAAGCCCCAGCTTCCCACTGGGAAAATCAGCCAGCACAGAGAAGGTGAGGCCAGCAGCTCTAGGGGCCCTTCTCATTTTGAGATGAGTCCCATCTCATCTGTAGCCTAGAGGTACCTCAGTGAGTTGGAAAAGTCAGAGGCCACTTGCTCCGGGCCCCTTTGGCCTCAGGCCCTACCTACATTTGCACTCAGTTCCCTTAGGGACTTAGTTTCCTGCCCGTCCCAGAACCTCCAAGCTGCTTGCTTTCTGGGATGAGGGTTTCTGAATCTCTGACCTAGCTGACTCCAGAGAAAGGTGGTCCTCTGGGTGCACCTCCAGACGGGGTTCTGAAGCCACAGCAGCTGCCTGTCCATGCCAAAACAGGGTCCCCTGAGTGTGCTTTCCAACCAGGGGCATGGCCAGGTGGTGGAAGCCTGCCTGTGCTGTTCCTGGTCCAGGCTCAGTCAGCCTGGAAAAGATACCCTGATCCTAATTTCCTCCTCCTTCCCAGAGAGGATATACCTACCTGACTGGCCCACCTCTGGGAAGCTGGTAGAACCTTGCGTCTCACCCTCTGACATAGGAGCCTCTCTGGTCCTCTCCACTAAGGTTGCGTGCCCTCACCTTTGCCCCAGTGGCCACTACTTGACTCATGAGTTCTGCCCCTCCACTCTGTGCCCTCCCCAAGGGCACCTGCATGCACTGGGAGTGGGCAGCAAGCCTAGCCATCAGGGCAAGAGCCCTCTGCCATGCGCTTTGTGCCTCCAAAACTCCCCCACCTCGGTTGGGGCCTCAGACCAGCCATCCTTGGTGGAACATCACTCCTAGCCCAGCTGAACCAAACCCAAATACCTGAGGCTTCGCTGGGGCTGCCCCATAGGACACAGGGGTGGTATCATGGAAATACAGGGGATAAAACTGATCCAAAGCCACGCCAGGACTGGCCACGGACCCAGACTCCTGTGCACTCAAGGAGTTCCGTATGTCTCCTTAGCAACAGTCGAAGCTCTGCTGAGAAAATAAATGTATGAACTATATTTGACAACATAAAGTCCATATATTTTTCACCATTGGCATTTAGTCCAACTTTGCAGCCCCTCTGTTTCATGTCTTGCTGTCTGGGCCTTCTTGTCGTGTCTCGTGTTTGGTGGACTTGGGCAGAGCTAGGACTATGGTTCACTCTGCTCCTGCTGCTGGGGAAGCCATTGTAAAGGGTCTAGGTCTGTAGAGTCAGTGAGTGGAATTGGCCACCACCCTGCTCCTGCTGCGACCCTCGCCCTGCCTATGTGGTCACCAGAAGACCTTGCCTACAGCGGGGGTCCTCGTCCATGAGTTCTGCTTGTGAGAAGGGCTCTGCTCCTTGCCCGTGGAGTGAGTGGCTCATCACCCAGCCCTGCGACAACCCTGGAACCTGCAGGCTGGGGTGATGGCCCTGCTCCTAAGTATATATAAGCTCAGAGTCCCATATCCATACAAAGGGATTGCATGCTCATGTAATCCCAGGAGGTGGGCTTGGAAGGAGACACTTCAGCAGCCTGCTGGTTCCGGAAATGGAGAAGGGGGCTGGGCGCAAGGTGGAACTGGGCCAGGCTCCCTTTGGATGCTCATCCCTAAGCTCCCCCCTTCCCTTCCAGTTGGCTACCACCCATAGGCTGCAATTTGCCCTCTTGCCCTTGGCTCCTGGAGCAAAAATGTTTAGGGTGCTGTTTTTCCCTGCCTCCAGTCAGAGCAGACAAGGCCTTGAGGAAGTGTCTCCAGGAACTACCTTCTGTAGCTGCTGGGCCCTTGGATCCCAGTAGCCTGAGGTAGTGGCTCCTTTGTTCTAGAGTCCTCTCATGGAGCTTAGTTAGGACTTGTAAACAGAGGCAGCCTTGAGCAGAGTTCATGACCAATGTCTCCAAGCAGCTTGCCTACATAGCTTTTCACTGAGACCCCTTTTCACCTGTAAAGGCATAGGACAGCAAATCCCCAGGCTCTAGGGCCAAAGGCCTCTGAGGGGCCTTCATTCAGGGAACTCATAGCCCCCTCTGATCTAAGTGACAACTCAAAGAGGCCACCAAGCACTCTCATATAAAGCTAGCCCCTTGACAGAAGCTTCAGGGGTCACAGAAAAGGGGCCATGGGAAAGGGTCTTAACTCTCAGTCTCCTTTGTCCTTTTGTTCAGACAGAGTTGTGCCTGTAGCAGACAGCTCTGAATTAAAGCATGAACACACACACAGCCCCTCAGCCTGGTGTCTTTGTACCGTGTCATTTCTTTAAGTATGTTGGGGTGGGTGTGAAACTCACCATGGTACCCAACACGGATGGGATCAGCTGTCAGCTGGCTGGGCCCCACTAGGCTCTGCTGTGTAGGGCTGGGGTCTCTGTCCATCTGAGATCAGGTACAGGATCTAGAATCCTATGTCCCTTCATGCTCAGCACAGGGAGGATATTCTCAGTAGTCCTGAAATGGCTTCTCTGACCCATTCTGTAACTACAAAAACCATCATGACCACTCAGCAGGGGTTCCAAAGCCAGAGCAGGGCCACTCTACTTCCCTGTCATCCCACAGCCACATGCCCCTCAGTGCCAACACCCCAATGACACACTGGCAAGTACCCCACGGCACACTGAGCACTGTTCTCAGAGGCACACAGAGAAGACCTTGTCCCAGCTACTGTCCAAAAGCAAAAGCCGCCCTGGGATGTCATGCGAGCAGGAATTCTGGAATTTTCAAGAACTTTCATGGAAGGGCCTCTGTTTAAAGTAAACTCTTTATTCAAAAGACAGTAAAGGGTTACCACTGATCTATGCACAATCTGTGACAACGATCAATGAAGATAAAGAACACATTAGGTACTCCTCTGTCGAATCAGGCAGCTGACTTCCTAGAGGGGGTAGAAGTCTGCAGAGGGATGCAGCTGCACTCAGGGACCTTTGCCTAAGTACCCAGCATCTAGGGTACAGAGAACCAGGTGCTAGCGTCCCACCTGTGCCCCAGCATAGCTAGTGCTCCAGATCCAAGGAGGCCTGGAAACAGCAATGACAGACTTATCCAATATGCATCCTCCTGGGACACATCCCCAATACCCAGACCCAGGCTGCAAGCCAGCTGCAACCTGACATCTGAGGACTGCTGTCTTCCCTGCAGGATGGCGGGAGGCCTGAGGCACCCTCCTGTAACTTCAGATGTCTGGGATGGAGTGGTCCATGGTGTGCTGAAGCAGCAATGGGGACAACCTAAACAAGGCAACAGTGACAGTAACTGGCAGCTGTTCTTCCTTGATCCTCACCCCAGCCTGTTCACCCCACAGAGCTGTGTTCAGCCCCTACTTCTAAGGATGTCAAGTTGTGCATGGGAAGCCACTAGACACCATGGAACTGATGAAAGATCAAAGATAGGGCAGACCAGACCTGTGCTCTGGGTAAGCACTGAGGCTGCCAGGGCATAATAGGTGGTGAGAAGCAGAGTGCAGAGGTTGGGTGTAACGGCCTTACTTTTTGATCATATGCTCGTAGATCACAGAGGGAATGAGGGTCAGTGTGATGATGTTTCCAGCTGTGGTCAGAATCTCTGTAATCATTTTGTCCTAAAGAGGAGGAAAGGGACTGGTCAATTTGGGAACCAGGGCCAGCACTGCTGCCCAACTGTAGCTCAGCATGGCTATTGCTAGAGGCTTCCCAGAACCCTAGACATCTCAGGTTGGGGTATTGTTCCTGAGAATTGCCAGGATCACAAGAGCATGACACCAGCCTCCCATTCCTTGAAGACAGCACTGCCCCACAAATGTGACTCTCCCGCCCTAGCAACTTCGCTAGTCCCATTTACACTTGGACTCCAGTGGGAGACACTGGGTCCACCTGTATCCTCAGGCTCCCCCTGGCTCCCCTAAGCCAGCCATACGCGTCCTCTCCCACACCTCACTGACTAGTAAGAAAAGCTTAGATCATGAAGAGAACAGGCAACTCCATGCAAAGGGTGCCTGCCAGTCAAAAGACTGCAGCTGTAGTAATGAGCCTGTGGTCCCTGCTCAGACCCTGGTGACAAATGCAAATCATTTTGCATTTATATGGTTCTGTGCTTCCTTGGTTGTTCCAGAATAAATAGGGGAAGAGAGGCTTCAGGGGACTACTGATGGCCAAAAACTCTGAAAGATAACTGATCTCAAAAAGTGTAACTACCTGCCACTGCTGAAGAGCATAGACCGAAGGATCTCGTGGGACCGTGGCTAGGCGGAGTGACCCGTGAGTTCACAGTGAGGGTTTGGGTCATCTGTGCAGATGTAAGAACCATCTCCAAGCACGGCTACTCTTAGACTTATGGCTGAATTTTTATTTTTTCAAAGGAAGCAATCTACAGCTGCTCACGAGCCATTACTGCACGCAGATTTTCAAGCAGAGACTGTGGTGGCCTTTTGACCCGGCATGCTTGATCACAGAGAAACGGGAGAAAATGCACCAGGAAGGATCTCAGTCACAGGAAGAACTTTCTAACCACAATAGCACGAGACACCAGAATTAAGTCTCCACGGAAGGTGAGAGGAGAGTGCCCGGGACAAGGAAGCAGACATAGGATAGGCACGACTTGTACCCACTGTGGAGTGAGGTGCCACCGCCTACCCATGAGCACTGTGGGGTGGAGAAGCATGAGGTCAGGACTGAGTCGCTTTCACTTGTTCATGTCTCACACCATACAACTCATCCCTGCCTGTTCCCAGAAGATGCCCTTCTTTTCACAGCTACAGCATGGGCCTGAAGCCTTGTATACCTTCCTGCTCTGTAAAGAACAGAATTCAGATGTCCCTCTTGAAGAATGGATTTTCAAGTCTGTTTACTAAAGGAAACCCCATTACTGAATGTAATCAGCATCCAGAGAGAAAAGCCACACAGAGGAGGAGGTGTCCTTTGTGACCAGCAGGCCAGGCTGCCCCTGTCCCACACATTGTCCCACCCCTCTGGCACATCCTGTGCATTGGTAATGACCGAATTCTTACTAGGCACCTACTCATTCTGAATGACACTGGTCAGAGCTCCATGCACAAAGTCACACTGAAGCCCCCATCAACCTAAGGCCGGGGAAGCTGAGGCTCTAGCAGGTTCCACAGACTATGCAGACGGGAGCTGTTCCACTCCTGCCATCTCCACAGTGCCCACATTTCCCGGCAGAGCAACACTACTGCCTACCTTTAACCCAATGACGTTCTGTCCGTTCACCTCACACACATAGTGGTTGGTGAGAAGTCCATTGCGGGCGGCAGAGCTTCCCTTTACCACAGATACAATCTTCCCCTTCTTGATGAAAAAGCCAACTTGGCCTGAGCTGTCCTTGTGCATAGTGACAGTACGCTGGAAGGGCCTGGTAGAGAGGGACAGTGAGTTGGGCTTGCAGGTGTGGCTGGAGCCAGGCAGGGAGCATGCTGGGACCTGGCTACTGACCTGTCCCGAACAACCATGACGATCTTTTCCGATGATGCCTTCTTCAGGGCTTTGTGGGCTTTATGTGTGCTCCACCCAGCACAGTCACACCCATCAATCTGCAGGATCTGGTCCCCAAAGCGCAATCCCACGAGGGATGCAGGGGTGTTGGCCTGGACCAGCTGCACAAAGAGCCCCTGGGAAGCAGGAACCCACAGTCAGCACCCCTGGCTGCATGAGCCCAGGACCCTCCTCTAAGAGGTTCCTTCCCCACACCCTGAGAGCCTGTAGTATAGTGGGACCTAAGATCTGCAGGGGGATACACAGGTTACCCCTGTTTCCTAGGAGGAGGAGGAAACACGCCAGACCACACAGAGTAAGCTGAACATCATTTCAGCATCGTAATCAATTCTCCTGTACCACCCTTCCCAAAGACATGTGGCTGGCTTTCTTTACACTCATCAGGAAGCTAGACCCATGGGAGTTAGGGTGCAGGGAAACAGGGAGTCTGAGTGACACTGTGGGGCTGAAAGAGGATCCCTGCTGCAACTGGGCACAGCCTTGAGGCATCAGATATTAAGGAGTCTGCTCGGAAACTTCCTTGCCATAGACAGAGGCTCTGTGAACCCTGGGGCGGGAGGCCCCCCATACACTACACCACTTCAGGCTGCTGAGTGACTGTCCCAAAGCTTGTATCCCTGGGGCTGTGACAAGGCTATCTAGCACCAGAGGAGCACCCTCTCCTCTCCAGAGCCTTGCTTACCTTGTCAACAGCCTGCAAGCGCAGTCCAGTCTTGCCACGCTCATCTTTGCACAAGTGGATTTCACGCACCCCAGGCTTGATCTCTGCACGAAGCGCACCCAGGTTGTTCCCAGACACTGGTGCTACCACCTGGCCAGGCCCAGGGCGAGTGACCACCATCTGCAGACACAGTAGTGGAGGGGCGGGGTCAGCCAGGCACCTGGAGCCTGGGTCTCTGGTTCTAGGTAGGTCTAGGTAGGGATGAGTAAAGAGGATAGAACAGTCCCTGGGCAGGCAGACACACACACGCAGACACACACACACACACACACACACACACACACACACACACACCCATACTTTACAGGGGCTGCAATGGATCTTGATGACACCACTAGAGGGCATCAAAATCCACACCCCTAAACATGAGTTGGGGGGTGGAGGGAGGAAGCTGGTTTCAGGAAGGAGTCACTTTATTTTCCAAAGGAAATTAACATCAAGAAAAGATCAACTTAAAAGTTCACTTAAAAGGAAGATATTTTCACAGTAAATGGTAAGGCATCAAAGATGAGAAGGCTAGGTTTGACTTTGTCTTGAACCAACAATAATTTGAACCAAAAATAAAAATTAATGAATGGTTCCTCCTGGGATACAGAAAAGAGAAGGATGCCAGTCTCACCAGACACAGGACTAGATGATCCAGCCAGTACAATGAGGCAAGAAAATGGAAAAGGGAACACAGGACAGAGAATTACCATTGTTCCTATTGACGGATGACATGATGGTCTACTAGAATATCTGCAGAAATCTAAAATTTCAGGCTATAATTAAATAACTAAAACATTCACCAAAGTCCTAGAGTTCAATGTCAGCATATAGAAACCAACTGTTCTAGGATGGTGACTCAAACCTTAGTCTTAGCTATCAAGGAGGCTGAAGCAAGGAGATCCCTTGAACCCAGGAATTAGAAGTCAGCCTGAGTAACAGAGACTCAACTGTATATCTATACCCTGACATACAGAGAGAGAGAGAGAGAGAGAGAGGAAGAGAGAGAGAGAGAGAAATGCAGGAAAAAATGAGATGTGTGTGAATCTAGACACATTTAGAAATTGTATACTATAGGCGAGAAAAATCCTGATGAACGTTAACAAAGACCTAAGCAAACAGAAGGTCTCCTGTTTGCACACACTGGAAGAGCTGGCAAAGCTGTTGGCTCCTCCAACCAACACACAAACACAGCGCACTTCTATCAAAGCTCTACCAAGCTGCTTTGAAGACACGGTCAAAGTAACCTAACCTTAGGAGAAAGACAGTGGGATGTGAACAGTGACACTAATTCAGAAAAAAGAACAAAATGTGAGGAACCATGTGAACACATCAAGACTTCTCTTGACACAGCACTCCTCTCCATCAGCAGGCACCTAGGAAATCCAGAGAGATCTTTACTGTGGGGAGGACAATTGTTTTGTGGCAAAGGTCAAGACCAGTTGGGGGTAGGGAGCTAGCCCAACAGAATCTACTGCATCAATGGATGGCCAGGCAGGGGAGAAAACAGAAACCAGGACATAAACTACACATTTTTTCCCCCAAAAATCTACTCAAATTCGATTATAAAGTTAAATGTAAAACAAAACTGTAGCAACTTCAGAAGAATGTAAAAGAGAAAATCTTTAGTATCCAGGTCTTGGGAAAAAAATTCCTTAGACAGGAAATTCAAGAAAGGAAAAGAAAAAATATAAAACAAAATTGACTTCATCAAAATTAAAAGCTTTTCCCCTGCAAAAGAGTCTGTCAGGAGATAAAGAGTTAATCCAGAGGCTGGGGGATGATATTTACAACCTACGTATCTGATGAGGACTCTAGATTATAAAATGTAGTCCCTAAATCCGACCTTTAAAAGTCCAATTAAGATGCATAAAATGGGGCTGGTGATGTAGCTCAGTCAGGAGAGCATCGCCTAGCATGCATAAGGCCCTGGGTTTGATCCTCTACACCACACAAACCAGGCATGGTGGCACACATCTGTAACCTCAGCACTTGAGACCTGAAAGTCAGAAGTTAAAGATCACTCTCAGCTACACTTTGAGTTTGAGGACAGACTAGGCCAGATCTTGTCTCAGGTGATGGGCACACGAAAAGATATTCCACACCGCTAACTGACAGGAAAATGCAGATGAAGACCTGCCATAACTAGTGACAATACCAAGTTCTGGTGAAGGTGTAAAGGCACCAGGCGTACTCCACAGACACACAACATAACACATGAACACAGCATCCCAAAAGAGTCATCGTTTCTGATTTATGCTTAGATAAGTTTCTGAAATGATACAATTACACAGACAGCGGGTGGGGGAAAGGCTGGGAGAAGAAGGCTGGGAGTGTGGCACAATGGTAGAACAGTTGCCTAACATCCATGAGGTCCCAAGTACTGCCACAGAAAGGGAGGATGTTGTGTATGTAAGCATGTTTTGTTTTGATTTCAGGTGTGGGATAAGGAACTGATTCAGATTTTTCACAGCAGCAAACTATTTGCTCTGGGAGGGGCTCTTTCCCAGCTGAAGATAGTTTAGTTCTGAGGACTCTGAGAGTAAATATAAGGCCAGAGCCCAGAGACTGTTGAGGGCACTCTGTGAAAGGAGGCTGCTGGGGCTCCCTACTGCTGCTCCTGATTGCTGCTGATGCAGTGTGATAAGAGGTAGTTGGAGATAATCCTGAAACGAAGATTGGACTTGCCACAAGGAACTCAACGACCTTAACCAGCAGGAAGTAACTAAAGAGAACTCTGCCCCCTGTCCCCATTAACTTCCTTTCTCCTACCTGGTATTGGGGTATTGGAACAGATTGGGGTGCATAAGGGAGAAAGAGAATAAGAAACCCAAACAAAATAGTTTAAAAAGGTAATGCCAACAGGAGGAGGATGAGCAAGGGATGGAAGAAAGAAAAGGAAGGGAAGGTCGCCAGGGTTAGAGGGAGGAGGAGGAGTAGGTGTGGCCACAGAAGGAGAGGAGGAGAGCTTTCTAATGATAGACGGTCTTGTCTTAGATGGGGGAGGGTTCCGTGAATCTGAACACTGAGAGGCTGACAGAGCAATGGACACACTCTACCCATGTAATTATTGGTCTTTCTACCTTTGCAACATCCCAGGAACCTATTATTTTTTTAAAGGTGAAAATATTGAAAATAATTACAATGATAAAAATTGCTAAGTGTGGAGCTTGAGAGAAGTTGCTTAGCAGTTCAGAGCCCCTGTTGCTCTTGCAGAGAACCCAGCACCCACATGGTGGCTCACAACCTTCTGTAACCCCAGTTCTAGGTATCTGACATCCTCTTCTGGTTCCCTTGGGTACCAACCACACATGCAGTGCACATGCATACAGGCAAAAGAATCATATACATAACAGTAAAATAAAACAAATCTTTTTCAAAGACATCCAGGAGTGGTGGTGCCTTCTGAGTGGCACTCAGAAGGCAGAGTCAGGCAGATCTCTATGAGTTTGAAGCCATCTGTTCTACATAGCCAGTTCCAGGCCAGCCAAGGCTACATAGTGAGACCCTGTCTAAAACAAACAAACAAACAAACAAACAAACAAACAAACAAGCAAACAAAAAAGTATCCATCATAATTTAGGGTGAGCGCATCTGGGTCTCAATTGCTAGTATAAAGAATGCCTGGACTGACATGCCTGTGCACATACGAATGTGCATATGCACACACACACATGCACACACACACACACACACACACACACACACACACACACCTCCAAATGGCAAGACTAGGAGGTAGGATATTTAGTGGCCACCAGAGGAGACAAATACCTACATTGTCACCAGCTGGAATCTGAGGCAGGTTCTTCTGAACTTCTTGGCTAGAGAGGGATAGCCCCATATAATTCTCCAGTTCTGCCAGGTTCGGATACAACTCTGATGGTAAGGAAGAGGCAAGGTATCATTCAAGGGCTTCTCATTTTCTGTGAAGCTGGGAAACTTCACTAAGCTTCATCCTGATCAGGATGGAGAGATGTCTTAGCAGTTAAGGACACAGACTGCTCTTCCAGAGGAGAACCCAGGTTCAAACCCCAGCACTCACAACACAGCTCACAACTGTCTGTAACTCCAAGATCTGACATTCTCACATAGATACGCATGCAGGCAAAACACCAATGCACACAAAAATAAAGGTAAATATTTTTTTAAAGTTGTCCTCTGACTTCTGCAACTCATAATGTGGTCTGTGCCCCTCACACACACAACTAAATAAAAAATGCATTTTAAAAGAAATAAGAACACCCTGATCCCCTCAGCATGTCATGTGTCCCAGGGATGGTTAGCAGTGACATGGGCCAGCTCTACTGAAGGCTTGGAGCACCTTTGTCTAGGAGCAACCTCAGACACCGAGACCCACCTAACGCTCAGCTCAACTGCTTTTGGCACCAGTTGGACAATTGACAAAAAGCCAGAGTATGTACAGGACCACCAGGGACCACACGCCATGATGTGGGGAAGCTCAAGGAGACAGCAGAGCTTCTCTCACAGGACTGATCCACAGTTGCTATGAGCTTCTGTATGGGCTACCTCAAATATCTGGTCTTCCCCAGATGGCCTGCCCATGGTGGCACCAATCAGGCAATTTCTGCCCCACTAGTTCCTCCAATGTTTCCTCAAAGGGTGAATGTTAATGTACATCCCCCCCACCCCCAGAGTGACAAGTGAGAAATGGTCACTGAGAAGTGGCCAAAAAACTAGGCCACATCCTGAGGGTCAGTACAACCCACACACCCAGGAGAGGTGGGCCTGCCTGGTCCTGAGAACAGGAGTCTCAAGTTCTCTCCCATGCCTGGGTGACAGGCCCAGCAGTTCTGGGGTGTGTGGTGGCACTGGGGCTGTCACAGAATGAACACTGAACACTGGAGTCAGGGTCACTTACCTGAAAGTGGGGGTGCAGAAGCCAGCGGGGCTGACAGAGTGGGCATCATGGGTGAGGCTCTGGCCTGGGCCTGGAAAAGAACATGGAGTGTTGCTCAGCTGTAGCTGGGACCACAGGAACTCTTGCCTGGGACCTCCTGAGGCAGGGACTCTGAGCATTGAGTATTGTTGTAGACTTATAATGGTGGGGTGTCCTAGAACCCTCAAGGCTCCAGACCATATGTAAATGTAGCCTCTACATACGTACATGATATAAGGCGGGTGTAAAAAGTCAAATACTGCCTGTGTTCACTCACGCTAAAGCTAAATGGACGATGTTCTCTATACATGGAAGGGCAACTGTATGCAAAAGGGACATCATGTATATGCAGCGTTTATTTGGAGTTTTTTCTTTGGCCATTTTGCCTCTCAGTTATGAAACTTGTATGCACGGATTTCATATCTCCATAGTGAGACCCACCTGTGGACATTATGACCTGTCTCTAAAGGGTCAGTTTTATTATTCAACAGGAAGAATGTCATTTTTAGCCTTGTTTTTCCAGAGTTGTGTTTTTCAGTCATTCAAGGAAAATTAAATGATTTAGCTGGAGAAGAAGGAGGAGGAGAAGAAGGAGGAGAAGTAAAAGGAGAAGAAGCGGGGGGGGCAACTATGGTTCACACTCAGCAATGACTAATACTTCAAAAGAGCAGGTTGAGAGGAGTTTGAGTGCTCCAAGCTCAAAGAACTGATATAAGCCTGAAGTGATGGATGTGCCAGCCACATGGATCTGCCAGGTTAAAAATGTCACATGTACCTCACTAGCATGTGTAGCCACAAAGTGATAATTAAAAATCAAGACTGAATACTTTAAAAATGTGGTCTCTTGCAGCTAGAGAGATATCTCTGTGGTCAAGAGCACTTGCTGCTCTTGCTGAGGACCTGAGTTCAGTTCCCAGCACCAACATCTCAACTGACAAACATCTTCAACTGTAGTTCTAGAGGATCTGATCCCTTCTTCTGGCCATTGTGGTACTGGGCATGCACATGGTACATATACAATACACGCAGAGAAAATATACATAATATAAAAATAAATAAATCTTTTTTAATGTGGCCTCTTTGGACAAACATCTTTCTGGCAGAAAGTTCTCTGGTGCCTATGATCAATTGTTTTATATCCATGGCAACCAAAGCACAAAAGCCAAACTCCCAACCAGGTTATCAGGGAGAAAAACTGAAATTCCCAAAGCTTCTGGGGACACAGAGGAGTTGGGGTAGAGGTGGAAGAGACTGCTGGGGTCTGAGCAGGCTGAGCTTATACTCTAGGTTTCCTGGGGAAACTGTCTGGCACCTGGGGTGTGCCTTCAGAGGATGGGGAAGAGCCAGAACCCACATCACTGTGGCTGCTTTGTCTTTTCCACTTCTGCTCTGATTCCACGGGCCTTGACTCCTGGACTCTCCCTCTACACTGGCCTCTACACTGGGCCCTAGGGCTTCCCATGAATTACCAAGAGCTCCCAGTACCCAGAATTCTCCCTTGGCAAGCTTTAGTTACTAGGATTAATCCTCAAGGCCACCATTAGGGACTCTAGACAAATGGAGCCTGGTCCTTACCTGGATGACTTGGCCCACCTTCAGATCCTCCAGAGATGGGTACAGGATAGACATAACTGCTCTCTGAAGCACCCTGCAGAGCACAGAGGATGAGGAAGGATGAGAATGCAGTTCCCATCCTGAAAAAAAAGGCAGGACAGCTGCCTCCTGCCACCTGTGAACCACAACACGCCGAGACCACCACCTGTGGATACTGTCCCATCTTAGAGATGAGGAGGTGGGATTTACACCTGTTTATTTCTCGAGCTCATAATCTCCACCCACAAAATTCCATATTTTTTAAACTGACCCTAGACCTTAGAAACCAAACTTAGAGGACCATCCAGAATGTACCCGGGAGACGGGATCAAGGGCTTCATTTTCCCCCGCCATGTGGCAAAAGTCAGATGAACCAATAAGGTTTCCTCATCCAGTCCCACAGGTGCGCATGAAGCATGTACTGCATACCCGGTGGGGCCGGGAGCTGGCCCCACAACCGCAGCTAAATGGGCATAGCATTTAAACAGAGAGGCAGGAGACTCTAGCAGCCCTCCCAGCACCCCTCCCATCCCGAGCATTCCAGCTCCACAGCGTCCTGTAATCTGTCATGGGTAGGGTCGATATTGCTGTGATGAAACACCATGACCAAAGCAACCTGGGGGAAGTAGGGGGAGGGGGTGTCACACTCACACTTCCATGTGACTGTCATCACCAAAAGCAGTTAGGGCAGGAACCTGGAGGCAGGAGCTGGCGCATAGGCCACTTAAAGGTGCTGCATTTTGGCCTGCTCCTCATGGCTTCCTCAGCCTGCTTCTTATAGAACCCAGAACCTCCGACCCCGGGGTGGCACCGCCCACATCAATTAAGAATATGATCTACAGGCCTGCCTACAACAGGCATTTTCTCAATTGAGGTTCTGTCCTCTGTGTCAGGTGACATAAAAACCAGCCGGTACAATTGATCCTTTGTTAACTTGACACACAATCACATCACTTAATAGGCACAACCTTTCTCTTTTTTTGTCCTCAAGAGCTCATATTAATATTACAGTATTATATAGTATATTAAAATTAATATTACACAACCAATTACAAATTAATATTACAAATTCAAACACTTCAAAAGTTCAGTCTCTTTAAAAATCCAAGTTCTCCTTAAAATCCAAAATCTCTTTAAAAATTCAAAGTCTCTCAACTGTAGCATCAAAAATCAGTTAGGTCCTTTCTTACTCCAAGAGGGAGAGCCGAATGGCAGTGCTGCTGCATGGCACGCTGAGGCCCCTGGGTTCTGCTCCGGCACTACAGCCCTCCCTCAGCCAGACACACAAACACTGCTACACAGGGAGGAGGAGCCAGGTCGGTGGCGCTGCACCCACCCAAATTTCGTCATCCTGGCTGAGAATCTGCAGCCTCTAAGTGGGGTACTATCATCCCTGAAAGACACACCATTCCCTCCCTAGGTGAAATGCCCAGGGGAGTTTGTCTTTCTGGGTTCTGCCCTTTACACAGTAGACTATGACTCTGACATACTTTCTGCCCTCTGTAGGGCAGTCCACTCCAGCTGGATGCCCCACCCTGCCTCCCTGTCACCTCCTCTTGCTGGACCCACCTCCCAGAGTAGAGGTCACTGCCCTGTCACCCTGGGCCCTGCCCCAAGGACAGGCTCTGAACTACTCACCCACCTCCAACTCTTCAGTTACCTGTGCCTTCCCAGCTCACAATCATTACTAATGGACAAGGTATATCCTTCTTAACCATAAGTAACAAGAATGCCAGGAAGTGTCATAGGGAACTGACCAGGCTGTACCATGATGATGTGAAACCAGCCCTGTGACCCCGCATGAGGGCATGAGGCACTGAGGGCATTCTTATGAGTCATCTATCCCTCTGTACCTGCTACCCCAACCCATGTACTCCTTAACTCCCATCCCCAACACCCCTTTCATGTATCACCGAGCCCCCTCTCAACCCATCCCTGCTGTACTGTTCTGCTCCTCATTGGTGTCACAGCGTCCCCCTAAATAGGCCATGGTCTCCTCTTTGTTCTCCAGACAGTAACCACCAGGCCTTTTAAGCATGAAGCTGGAATGTTGTAGCTTTGCCTAAAGTCCTTTGCTTCTTGGGAGCTGATGCAGAGGCCATGGAGGAATGCTGCTTACTGGCTTGCTCCTCATGGCTTGGTCTGCGTTTTCTTTCTTTCTCTTTCTTTCTTTTCTTTCTTTCTTTCTCTCTTTCTTCTTCTTTTTTTTTTTTTTTTTTTTTTTTTTTACAGGGTTTCTCTGTTTTAGCGGTCCTGGAACTCACTTTGTAGAACAGGCTGGCCTCAAACACAGAGATCCACCTGCCTCTGCCTCCCAAGTGCTGGGATTAAAGGCCTTTGCCACCACTGCCCAGCTCTGTCTGTATTCTTGGAGAACCCAGAACCAGCAGCCCAGGGTGGTACCAACAGCCCAATCTTGTGGAGGCATTTTTAATTGAGGTTCTCTCCTCTCATATAACCCTAGCTTGTGTTAAATTGACATAAAAACCAACCATCACAATTGACTCCTTATCAACCTGGAATACAAACACATCACTGTTAAGTCATAACCTTTCCTTTCTTGTCCATCCAGGTTCACACATTAATATCAACATCAAAATGTAAAACATTTCAACTTTTAAAAGTCTCACAGTCTTTAAAAATTCAAATACTGAAAAGTTCAAAGTCTCTTTAAAATAATCAAAATTTCTCTAAAAATCCAAACTCTCATTAAAAGTTCAAAATCTATCAACTATGGGCTCCTGTAAAATCAAAATAAATTAAATACTTTGTTATTCCAAGAAGAAAGAACCAGGGCATAATCATATCAAATCAAAGTAAAACCAAATTCCAACCATGTAAAGAACTCAGTGTCCAACATCTGTAATTCACTCACAATCTGTGGGCTCCTCCAGAGAGCTTGGGTCCCTTCTCCAGCTCCATCCTCTGCAGCGCACACAGCTTGTTTCCTAGGCTAAGGCTGGCTATGCTCCACTGCTGCTATTCTTGGCACCATGATACTGGCATCTTCCAAATCCTGGGGTCTTTGCTGCAGCGGGGCTGCACTTTCACCAATAGCCTCTCTTGAACTCTCGTCAGGAAATGCAGCCCTGTCACACAGTGCCAAGCCTCAGTTGCTCTCCATGACCCCTTCATGCCTTCAAAACCAGTACCACTCGAATAACACACTACCAAGTTTAGCTGCCAGCACACAGTACACCGCTGGCCACCTCTATAACACAGCTTCTGTGTGCTGACTCTCAAGAAACACTTCCCAGATTTCACCTTAGTGATGCTGGTGTCTTTTTACTCACCATTAATTTCTCAGTCCCAGCTGAATCTGCATCATTTGTCTCAGTAAAGCAATGTTCTTACCTCTGTGGTGCTGGCCTCTTGTTAATCACAGCCAAATCTTCTAGTCTTCAGCCCCAGCTAACTAGAACCACAGGTTCTCAATTCGAAATAGCAAATGTCCCTGACAGTCTTAGCGTCTCTCTGAAACTTCACAAATCAGGCCTCCATCATCACTGCTTTCAGCATTATTCTCTAGTCTTCCAAATTCTCACAGCATTTCACCAAGCTTTGAACACTCGATGGCTTTTACAGCCCAATTTTCCAAAGCCCTTCCACAGTCCTCCCAAAAACAACATGGTAAGCTAGATCACGTTAATATCCCACAATCCTGGTACCAATTTCTGTCTTACTTAGGTTTATTATTGCTATCATGAAACACCATGACCAAAAGCAGCTTGGGGAGGAAAGGTTTTATCTGGCTTAGATATTCTGAATCACAGTACACTGAGGGAAGCCAACAGGAACTCAAACTAAACTGGAACCTGGAGGCAGGAGATGATGCAGAAGCCTCAGAGAGTGCTGCTTACTGGCTTGCTCCTCATGGCTTTCTCAGCCTGCTTTCTTATAGCACCCAGGACCACCAGCTCTGGAGTGGCCCCACCCACAATGGACTGGGCCCTCCACAACAACCACCAATTAAGAAAATGTTCCACGGCCAGATCTTATAGAGGCATTTTCTCAATTGAGGTTCCCTCTCTCAGATGCAGAACTTTCTCAGTCCCATCTCTCAGATGACTCTGGCTTCTGTCAAGATGACATAAACTAGCCAGAACCTTCCCCCATAACTCTCTTGGAACACAGCCTGGATTTCCTAAAATGGCCCACAAGGGCTTCCTGAATCTTCCCTGGAATGAAACTGATAGCCCAATGGCCAGATGTAAAGAAATTTTATTTGAGCTTACAAAATACTTAACAATTTTCTGCTTACTACAAAATTGCTGCACTTGACAGATTCCACTGATCCTGAAAAACAGGAAGCTTTGGCAACTGAAGCTTCAGCTGAACAGCCAGACTCCAGTGAGCATGGCCCCACCACTCTCCATTGCCTCTTCACCCAGGCCACTTTATCCACTGGAATTGAGTTCCAATAGATCTCTGCTTGCAAATTTATTTATTTATTTATTTACTTACTTACTTATTTGATTTTTTTTTCAAAACAGGGTTTCTCCTTGTAGCCCTGGCTGTTGTGGAACTCACTGTAGACCAAGCTGGCCTCGAACTCAGGAGATCTGCCCGCCCCTCCCTCCCGAGTGCTGGGATTAAGGTGTGCATCACCCACCACCACCCCAGGCTTTTGTGAGCAGTTTTGAACTTACTCCCCAACTCCACATCTTTCCACATGCCCTTCCCCAAGTCTGACTTTCAACAGCTACAACAAGGAGATACGTACAGAGAATGAATGAATGAATGAATGAATGAATGAATGATGGAATGAATCTCAAGCTACAACAAGGAGATACGTACAGATAATGAATGAATGAATGAATGAATGAATGAATCTCACTCTCTCCAGTCTATCAGCTTTAGAAAGTGTTAGCTCCTGTCTAGTACACTGGATCACAACCTTTGTTCCTGGCCCAGCTCAGACCCAATAATTATCAAGTCTAAAAGCAGAGGGCCCTCCTCATTGGAAGCCTGATGTGATTTGTGGGTCAGGTAGTATTCCCACTCTGTCCTTACTCCTGTTTATTCACTAGTCTTGTAGTTGACTACACTTGTCTA